CCAACCCTACGCCAGCCCCCGTACCGGGTCAGTGCGGAACGTGCGCCAACTGCTACTACGCCCCCACCAACGCGTGCTTTGCCGGGTGGTCTGCCGCCCAATGCGCTCAAGTGCCTGTGTTTAAGTGGTGCGGAGTCTAGAGATCTTGGGTGGCCCTGTGGACTGTAGATATATTATCTCGATGTGTAAGTATGTAATTCACGGCTAGAGCTGTTTGAATCAAGTACTTATAGTAGTACGTAGTAGTACCTAGTATTAATAGTATGTACTATACAGTACAATTCCCGCATCAAAAACAGTTGTTTTGCTCAGAAAGCACTGTAATTTGAGTGTATACATGGTCTTTGTATGCTTGGACCTCTTCACCTCTTACTAGGGTTTAGCTGCATCGCTAGTGGTTAGATATGGCTATCCACTGAGATTGTCGCCGGGGATAGGATGGAACAGGGCTACGGACGAAAAGGTGTATCCGGATGGGATAATTCCCTCATTGAAACAGTTTTTCGGGTCAAAACAATAGTGAAACAGTTTTAATGAGGGAATTATTCTACTATACACAGTATACAGTACTGCTGGAGAGTAACATGACTCCACGTAGGCGACATCTATTTTTGTGTGATTGCCTCATCAAAAAATGTTATGCTGAGAAACGTCCATGTTTGAAATGTTCTGACTGGATTAGTTGACGATACCGGTACAACTGCCAAACGAGGAGCAGTTCATTCGCCTTCAAGTCAGCTTGATGTACATATGTATACGTTTCACGAAGCACCACGTAAAGGTCGCGCGAGCTCAAAGGCCGGGGTACCTAGGTAGATCCCAGAATTACCCTAACGCAACAAATTATACACCAAAACCTTGGTGTAAAATGCCTCGTCGGCTGAATCACAGCGGTAGTTCCCAGGTTAAATTTTATTCACAATGTGTAGGGTTCGTTCGACTCCACTCAAGGCGCTTGCGGAATTCATCATAATTATTGATGTATCAAGTGCTTTCTTCGATCAACCACATCTCTTCAACGATGAAAATGCGTACCAGGTAGTCCGTTATACTAATACATGAGAATACACAATAATGGCACATCTATTTTGCATACGGTAGACGTGATATCATTCAAATCAGATGCACAAGTATTGTATCGACGCAACACCGAACTGTATTTCTACTCTGGGTGCCCACCAATATGACTCTTTGGGCTGCCATGTCACACACACTCTATCGCAAGTGCTGCCCCCCCTTTGCACTCGGATGCACGAACAATCTCTCCACTTTCCCGGCGATTTTGGTGTGCTAGCCGTCACAATTCAATTTCCATCGACATCAACATGAAGCCCACTACCTCGATTCTCTTGTCAGCCTTGGCCCTCTCGTCGGTTGTCGACTTCGCGGACGCCCACGGTCGCATGCTTTCTCCCCCTCATCGTGGCCACATTGGCCGACTCCCCAAGTTTTCTGGTCTTGTCCCGATCAACTATAGCGACAACGGCCTCAGCGCGGGTGGCATCGGCGGTACCAAAGGGGGAAAACACGGCGTGTGCGGGGACGCGTACTCGGGTGTCCGGGAGCACGAGACCGGAGGGACCTACGGCCGCTTCCCCATCCACGGAAGCAAGGTCGTTGGCGCGTGCTACGCCCCGGGGTCGACGGTGGACCTCGAGATCCAATTGACGGCCAACCACAAGGGGTACTTTCAATTCGGGCTGTGCAAACTCAGTGGCAAGGACGACAAGGAAACGGAAGAGTGTTTCAAGGCGCTGGCGCAACCCAGTGGGGAAACGCAGTGGCAAGTGCCGCCCGGCAACCAAGTGTTCAACATGAAGTACGTCCTCCCCAGCGGCGTCACGTGCGACGGCGACTCGCACTGCGTCCTTCGCTGGCATTACGTGGGCTGGAACAACTACGGCGTGGACATCAACGGCCAGGAGCAGTTTTGGAACTGCGCCGACGTGTACATCAGCAACACGTGTGGCGCATCCAACCCGACCCCGTCCAGCGCCAAGCCGTCCACGTCGGCGGTGGCCACGCAGCCTCCCAGGCCCACGCAGCCCCAAGCCCCCAGCACGTCCAAGCCGACCATCCCCACGCAGCCTCCCCAGACCAGCGCGCCGTCCAACCCTACGCCAGCCCCCGTACCGGGTCAGTGTGGAACGTGCGCCAACTGCTACTACGCCCCCACCAACTCGTGCTATGCGGGGTGGTCTGCCACCCAATGCGCCGAAGTTCCCGGGCTCAAGTGGTGCGGAGCTTAGAAAAACTGTAGTGTGGCGACATTAAGGTCTACAGTGCTCTGTAGAACATTGTGTACACATGTACTTCGTTGTCATTTCAAGCTTATACTGGTTGAATCAAGTTTGTCCTTTGGATACAATAGTAGTGCATACTGTACTTGAAAATAGAGTGTGCATTTGGATTGGTCCTAACGTTAAGACTTAACACGTTACAATGTAATTCCGTCGCATACAAATACCGTATTTCCCGTCATTTGTCTGTTGCAGTGACATGGAGAATGAATCGACGACACATCCAAATGGACAGTTGAATCGGCAGAAGGGTTTAGCCAACGTGATCGCAGGAAATCAACATGTAATTAGTGTGTGCTTAAGATTAGTGTGATTCCAATTCACCCAGGCGAACTTTGTTCGAAGTACCGAATTTCCGGAGACTTGACCAATCAAATCACTCCGAGTTGCTGGAATATATTTTCTTTTGGCCCGGACGTCAAATAACTTTACCTCCTGGTGGACTTGGGGTACAGTACCCTGCACCGAATTAACAAATAGTTCGACCAATAAGCGTTGAGTAAAAATTTAATAACTTTATCCGTAGCCAATCAGTACTTCTCATGCATTTTCGTACAAACACTCGGTTGATAGATTTCGCGAATCCGTAAACCCGTCCAAATTTCGGGTAAAAGGGCAATAGTGGTTATTGTCGATTTGATACAAATTTGGGGATGGGGTGCAATCGAATCGCGCCGACCAAACCGATCCACAATCGATCTGATTGGTTGTTGAATTCATTGAGAAGGTTTTGATTGGCTAATAATTTTGAGCTCATCTGAGGTAGCCAATCAAATCGATTGAACTTCCAACGAGAACCACGCCATAACACGAAATTTCACTCAAAAGCACAATATTAATTATATCTATGATGTCTTGTAGATCGAAGGAGGGCGGCATCCACTTTTGCCATAGTAGCATTTTGCTGGGTCGCGGCGGCCCCGCCCATTATATTTAAATGTCGCTGGAATACTTGCACGTGGTTTGGCAACAGAACGTTGGACAGGTTGCATCCGTACGTTCTGGCTTCTTCCGCCAAGGATACGCTGTCCCCTGTGACAGGGTTCACGGCGCTGTACGCGACATACACATGCCGAAGGACAGTGCAGTGCGGTGCCACTTGATCAAACACATACCTACATATATATACATTAGAAGGCTCCCCATGCGGAATCGTATCCTCGTGTGCATATCCCATAACCTACTTACTTGCAATGTGGGATACTATGACAGGGTGGACAAACTGAAAATATGAAAAAAATCACGAGATATTGTCGATTTGATACAAATTTGGGGAGGGGGTGCAATCGAATCGTTGCGCCGACCAAACCGATCCACAATCGATCTGATTGGTTGAATTTCATTGAGAAGGTTTTTGATTGGCTCATAATTTTGAGCTCATCTGAAGTAGCCAATCAAATCGATTTAAATTCCAACGAGAAACCACGCCACAACACAATGAAATTTCACTCGAAAGCACAATATGATGAATTTTTGCCTCCTATTTGGTTCCCGATTGGCAACCATTCGATGATAAAATGCAAACACCCCATCGATCGATGCAGTCTCAACGCGACAGTTGATTGGTCACAGACAAACGATATAAAAACTAAAGTAGCCAATCAGCGATCATCCAGTTTTATTATCTATGAACCAATGGGAGAGCGATTCGAGATCGATTTCGACCAATCATACGTCAAATAGTACATTACATCTGGCCTTGCCATAATCCATCCAGGAATAGCATGATCTATTATTATATAAGC